GCCAATGATCGATGGGAAGCTGCCAAATTCCCCAAAAAAGGTGAAGTATGTACGCCAAGACTGAGAGGGACAGGGGCGTTTTGGTGGCTGAAAAGTTAGTTTCTAAGGCGCTCTTGCATCAGATGGAATATGATCTCGCGTCTCACGTTTGCTGGGAAGCATTCTCGCTCTCTGGGACCCATTTTTTCTGGAATCTTAGCCCCTGCAAAAATTTCCAAAGTGATTGGTCGGCGCTGAAATGTGTTCCCTTCGCCATCTGATCCTAATTTCAAGCGCATGAATCAGCCAGCTGTTCCGAACCGGTGCTTTTGGCGTAGTTAAATGTGATGAGCGCAATACCCGCATTCCTTGTGCTGACCTCCTAGGCACAAATCGATTATGGACTTCTAGGAAATGATCTGCATTCTTTCTGGTGTCCCAGTTCCGCTGCCTTGGACTTTCTTGCCGCTTTTGGCCAATCTTCTTCGCCTGACTTTCTACCGTAACACTTGCTCTGCCTAATTACCTATTTTTCTTGTTTATTGGTTTACAAGGTAAATGTGATGCAGTGGCAATCGGTACACTTATAAGGCGGGCAATCTGGGTAAGATCCTATCGGGGTAGTTCCAGAGAGATGGTGTCGTATTGTTGCACCCCTCTCTCTAGGTCGATGATGACCTCCCTGTAGAATGGTTTGGCGCACGCCAACAAAGCTTTGTGCACTCCAATAACGTGACTGATGCCATATTCGTCTGGGAGGATACGAACACTGAATTGCACAAACGCGTGCCGCAAGCCAGAAAGGGATTGTTCACCGTCGGAGACTTTACCCTTTTCTTTTTTATTCGTATTATTAGTCACCATTTAGAAATTGTTCTGTTGGTCAACTGCTGTTTTTCACTGAGGTTAGCGGTGCCAGTGTTATTGCAAGGGCTTTGATTTATGACTATGTGACCCATCAGGTAATAGGGCTACTAAGCTGATAGTAAGCGTGCTGTTGCTGTTGAAAAACAGGAGCGGCAGAAGAAGGGGCAGATCATTGCTCGGAAATCCCCGGAGTACTCTAATCTCATTACTTGTGACAGAAAACTGGTCGAATGTTTCTCGCACAGATCCGCTGAGCGGTGGTTGGATCGCTGAGCGGTGCGTTGCCGAGCGAAATGAACTTTGAAGTTTCCTCCTCCCTTCGCCAATAATTAGGCCCCGAAGGAGTATGTCATGAGGACTCGAACAGTGTGATGCGATAACACATGGCGCTCCAAAAAGCACAACATCTAGGTCGAAATCCGTCCAAAATCGGAACATCTCGATCTTTTTGGTTGTTGCGGTGGATACCTCCAATGGGTTTGTTTGGGAAATAGAATTCCATGGCGCAGTTCGGCGACGGGGAGGGGCATTTTGCACTGCCGAGCCTCCAAAGAGCTCTTTAATAAGACCAATGTACAACAGTTGACGGTTGCTACCTGGTGGCTAGAGGAGATTTGCTCCGCCTTCATAAGAGTTCACAGTTTCCACCGGATCGGAACTGGTGAACCGGAACCAGTAAAGCAGTGAAGGTACAAAACGCCTCCCCCCCCCTTCACCGAACAGCGCCGAATTCCAGACGCAAATGGGTTGTAGCCCTATTAACGACCTTCTTGTAATTTTTGAAATTTTTTAATGCTCTGCGCAATTGTTTTTGGCCTACAGTGGCGTTTCAGTTGCTGAATAACCTCGTACTCTCCGAATCCAGGCTGCTTAGTCCTAAAAATGGGCAGGGATGTTGTAGAACAGGCTGCCTCCACGCAGGGCGACGTCGTTGGGATCCCACAGGAGAGTATTTGGATCGCCTTGGAGGGAGGGGCCGTATTATGGTCTAAAAATTTTTTACTAGTGGTTTTTCTTGCTTCACCGACGCTATGAAGGGGGTAGGGTAGTATTTGCTCATTGTTGGGAGAGAGTGCTCGTATTTCTCAAAAATCTTCCGCAAGATGTGAGCTGGAAAAAACCAAAAAAAAACGTAAAAAGAAGAGGGGGTCGCATCAAGCCACCTCTTAAGGGGAGGGACGTACGAACTCAGCCAGAGTCCCCCAACTCATCATGTGCCCTGTGCTCCACCTCCTTCCCACACAGTTCTGAAATCAGATCCCACATCGTCTTCAACCCAGTTCATCCGCCTGCATTCTTTCCGTCCAGGTCGGCTCATTGTTACCATATTTGTTTGGTGGGGAAAAGCACAGAACTTTGCATTGGCTAGACCTTCCACCATTTCTCTAGCCAGGTCGTTTTCCACGCCCTTTTGGAATACCGGCATAAGTGAAATGCATGCCACATTCCAAGGGCTGGATTGATGAGCACCGGATACCTGATTCTTTTACTCAATGCGTTCCCAGCGATGGTGGTGCCGTAATGCAACCGCAAGTTGTAATTGTGATCAATTCATTTTGATGAAGCGGTCAATCGGCTCCCGGGCTGGGCGGGGCAGTTCTTATAGGCTAAACTTGAAGTGAAGATGATGAATGAGCTTCGATAAACTCATGGATCACTCCGCCATTACAACAAATTCGTCTGCGTCGATCGGGTTGCACCAAATCGCTCTTGGTCACTCTTACTGTTACGCTCAGCTATGAAAGCTACTGATCTCCTGATTTTTGGTCCAGTCTGATAGTTCGCCTCCCCCCTCCCCTTTCAATCATCAGCGTCAGAAATTTGATCGGAAGGTTAGCCAGCTGTAACGGCTAATGGGTTGCTATCGGTGTTTTTGAAGTTTGGACTTAGACATCTCCAAAGCGCCTTTGAGGAGGCTTTGACACTATTGTTGTTTCAAGGCACTTATATTCCTGCACAAAAGCTCGGTTTTTATCTTCTCGAGCTTGGCCGTGATGTAAAATATGAGAAAGCTTTTCGATGAGGTGCTCCTGATTCGATTCAGAATTGTACTGGCATTTGAATGCTGTATGCCCTATACAATTACGTCCAGGGTCCGATAAAATGCAACTGGTGGATTTTGTCTTCGCGGACAAGTTTGGTTTTCTTCAACCGATCTGATAGGGGCCGAAGTTCTGTCAGCCTGGGCAGATTTCTATCCAAGATCCAATCGTCATGCCATTCAGGTGGTGAGGGACGCTGCCTGGGAATAGGCTTCGTTTTTGAGCCTAATTTTTTTCCTCAGGGCTATTTGTAACGCCTGCTGCCCAACCTACCCGCCAACTTCGAGATTTGCTCCAAAACAATTTGGGTTACGAGTGGGTTCCAGCTTCTGTTGAAAGCATGAGGCATCCAACGGTCAAAACATCCATCAGTCGAAGTTTTTGACAGGTAATTGGCCAGCTGTTGGAATGGAAGCAAACGTAGTTCGGCTTGGATCACTATAGCGGAAGAGTATCAGCATGAGCGACTACGATAGTGATTAATAAGAGGATGGAATTATATCAGTATTCTTCAAATATCACCTGTCACCTCACTGTTAATCATCGGTTGTTCACGCGAGCGCTAGAAAGGTCCATTCGTCCCTACAGCGCTTTAGTGTTGCCTCATGAGTTCTGTCTGCTCGAGGGACACGAGCACAGAGTACATCATGTTATTTACGAGGGGTGTTCAACGTGCTTCTTGATGTAGCCATGAAGGAAAAAGCAGAAAATCCTGATAAAATTCATTTTCCAATGTAGTCCCCAATGGCCACGCTACGCGATAATACGCTTGCTTGCTCAGGAAAGGCTTTCAATAGCTTCTGAAACATTTTCCCTCTTAATCTCAAAATATGTGCAGGAGTGGTGTAGTGACAAGTGGCGCGCTCACCACTCGCACGGTCCCGGGTTCGAATCCCAGGTCGACTCCCGCCCAGGCCAACCAAGGCTTCTACCCTTCGTGGATGGTAAATTGGTACCAGATTTGTCTGGGAGGATAAAACACTGACTTGTACATCGGCTGGCCACCGCAAGTCATTGTATAGGCCACATCGCATTCAATAAGCCACTACGATTCTGAATGGAAGTAGAATGCGTGCCGCATCCCACAAAGGGATTGATCAACGGCGAAGACTTTATCCTTTATCCTTTATACCCCAAAATATATGCGTTGATGCGCCCGTCTGTCTTTCGATTCGTCAGCAATCAACCAAGACTCTTTTCATGCTGGTTGGGGAACAAGAAGTAATCATTAATCGTTTTCTCATTTTCCTTTTCATGTTCTCAGTTTTTTTTCATTTTTCACAATTTCTTTTGTCAGTAATCATTTTCTCAATATAATCGCATCAGTCATACTGGTCTTCAAGTATCACCAAGGATAACTAGAACAGCTATGATAACTAAGTGAAATTTTGTATTTATACCCAGGGAGTGTCGTTACCTACTGAAGCGATTCAAACTCCTTAGTCACTGCTAAATTACCCCGATACCGAGGATACTTTGAACGGTCCTCGTAGTCTCCTCCCTTCTGACGTATCTCTCTAGCATACTTGCATTTCAGCGCTTTTCGCCTTGGAACTTTGAAAGATCCTCCGTGCAAAACTAGTGCTACGTAGAAAAGATGAAGATTTTTGCCGAAACCTGTAGGAGAGTGTGCACAAAACTAACTCTATTGGGTTAAGGGCGGGTTTCGTTACAGTAATCTCATGTGTACACAGGTAGTTCTTCAGTTGTACCCCCCTCCCTCCCTTTTAAGGCGAAGAGCGCCTGCATTCCATTTGAATTATGTTCTGAACCGTGGTAAATACTTTCACAAATGACCATTTGGTGTTCATGAAATCGGATGGCCGAGCACTTTGCGAAATGAAACCTCAATTTCATTAAACGTTTGCAAAGGGCAGACCCTGGCACCACAGAAAAACGAACCGTGTTTTCGAGTGCATTTGATCCAGAAGTGAGGACATAGTGAAAAGCAAATGTGCGGATTAAGTGGGCAAACATACACCCGGTGTCGCTTTTGCCTCTCAGATCCTCCGCTATCGGTCGCGCCGTGTCCAGTCGCGTCGCGGTGTGGCAGACTTTTTTAATCCTTTTTTTCAGAATGCCCGACTCTCATTTGTTGTCGACATCGTCATGATCATTGCCGTGCTTCTGCTGCCCACTACAGTGGCAGCACTTTGTTCTGATACTGCCACATGCATCAGCCGAGTGCGAGAGATTGTGGCGGCTCCGAGAAAGTGGGCCTATCGAGAGATACCGTACTTTGAACCCTCCTAGAACGCTTTATTTCAAACACTCTGTTAAGGTTCTGGTTTGGCGAGCAGCGACGATCTCTGTGTCAGGGACGGAATGCCGACCCAGTGGACTGCTTCGGTCCAGCCCATCTAAGCGCCTTTCACTCAGTGGGAAGTCGACTGTTTCGAGTCAGGACCTACCATGCGGCCTATTTGAGAAACCTTCAGATATTTCCCAGGGTCACATTTCGAGCCCACTCAGGTCATTATCACAGTTCTTCAACGAAATATTCTGGAAAAGAAATCAAAATGAGTGTTTAGGCGAATATCGCGCATGCGACCACGATTTCCGAGCTGGGAATGGGAGCGTACAAATAGTGGAGGCAGATCCAGACATGTCTCCTGTAGCGCCGTTTTTTATCCGCTCAAAGCCAGAAATCACTTGGCATGGATTACAGTACGATGAAGAATTTATAATAGCGATAATAGATGTTGGTTTTGGCTCACTCAATTATCTCGTGACGGGATTCCCTCGTCAACCTATGGTGGGTTGTGTTTCTTTCGAATTTTTTGCGTCATTTCACAGAGTTATTTCCAAGTTCTTCTCAGGTGCTGCATGACTACGAGCCATCGGAGAACTTTCGGCCCGAGCCAAATCCGATGGTGGTAGCCATATTTCGCAAATCGAAGGCACTTTCATTAAAACTTGGGCGACCTGACGACTTTGACATTTCGAAGTTCATGCTCGACAACGATCTAGCTGACGGTCAGTTCCTATAAGGATTGTAATTGATATTGCGAAGACCATCTGGGGATGATGTAAAGCCCAATAGGGCCCTGAAGTGTGGCCTACTTCAGAAATATACCGCAAGGCTGGAATTCGATTTTGGAGATTAGGACACTTCCTCCCCTTCCCCCCCCCCGGATCTAGAACAAATTTTGTCGGAAGGAGGGTGTGTCACGCAAAAACGGCCAGCAGACACCTCTAATCTTTTCCCAGGTCTCCTCCATAGGAACGCAAAGTGTCTGCATCAGGTATTCTTTCCAAACAGCGTCGATGGATGAGCTGAAACGTTAAGGGTCCTACAGGTTTTGTATTGTTTTTCTGCACTCATGATCAGGACACAGCTTAATTGAAAAACCTTCTACAAGAGTAGCGTATCCCATTTGATGGAGATGGGTTGCATTTGTCCTATTGAAATGTGCCGAGAGTTCTAATGTCAAAGGTGGGACATTGTTGAAAAAGAATAGTGATTTTTGGGATCCTTTTTGTGTACTGCAGCCCCTTTCTGTCGGTGAAGGGAGGAAGTAGGTAGAGCGGGATATTCCTGTTGCCGGAGTCGTACTACTACGCACTACTACTGGCACCGGTGGAGGATGGGGTCCTCGAAAATGACCAGTTTATCTCATTTTAGGTGCACTCTAGTTCGCTGCGGATGAAGAGGCGTGTCAGGCATACGATTGTGCCACGGCGCCAAACCGTTCTCTGCGAGTTGATGAAGGGGGTTGCGACAGCAGTGGGTAGAAAATGAGTGGAACGAGGAGAGCGGGTTTGGCACCGCGCCAAACTCATCCTCCTGACACTTTGAATAGCATTTGTAATATGAAATGGAGTCGTCCGGACGAGTTTCCACAGCATTTCGATGATTACAAGGGCTATTCAAAGTGTCAGGAGGATGAGTTTGGCGCGGTGC